CATAAAATTTTATGAATATCTTACCAATTGCTATTACAAGCATAAATTTAGGCAATTCTGGCAATTACAAGACAAAATCTCACCTAAGGGTTTGGTTCCCATATAAGAGCTGGATTAGGGAGCTGAACTGTGATGAAAATTTTTATAAATAACACGTTTATGCTCATTGGTAACATATTTGCACAGTGACTCAGTGGGTAACACTGGCACCTCACACCCCCCGGCTTGGGCTCTGTGTAGTTTACGTGGTGACTCAGTGGGTAACACTGGCATCTCTAAATGTCCCATCTTATGTGAATGTGTGTTTGCTCTGTGATGGACTGGCATCCTGCCCAGGGTGTCCCCTGTCTTGTGCCCTGAGCTCCCTGTGACAGGTGCCAGGCTCACCATGATGGATGGATGGATGGATTTTTTATACATTAATTACATTTTTTTCAGAAAAAATTACTTGCACATATACTGCATAGAAAATGTCTACTTACTTTTCTTTTTTGGCCAACCCTATAATTAAAAAAGATTCAATTAACAGTGTTGGAGCTCAAAATACTAAGACATCAATAGAAGCTTATTGTAGCTGCCAGAATACATGTAATGAGTAATGATTATGTGTAATGAGAACTAATGATTACTTATATATTTATAATTATTATATAATAATAATTACTGAGAGTGACCGTTTTCTGTATTACATAGACACATGTGCTGTTTCACTGAGGATGTTTATATCATCTCCCCATTAATAGTCAGGCTCCCCATTACAGCCTCAGTGCCCCCTACTGGCAGGAGGCCATTACAGTCCTACACCACTGAAACAGCATCATAATGGAAGAGCAATAAAGCTCAAAAGAATTAAAGCAGCAGTGATATGAAATGTTACATCTTGAGCTAAACCATACAGTGAATACATAATGATGTGGTTACAAATGTAATATTCATCCAGGTTAAGTGCTGAGCATGTGGAGATGTAAACAATGAAGTCCCGGTACACATATTCAGCCTTTATGGTAAATTATGCATCATATCTCTGTTATACTTACAGTATGCAGATATCTGTATAACAAACCAGCTAAAGAGAAAGACAGACCCAGAAATCAGGACAATCAGTCGTAGATCCAATGGCTGTTTTCCTGTGTCTGAAATGACATCATCACAACAATCACTGAGAACTGAGGTCAGTAAATGAGCAGTAAGTGACAGATATTAAACCACAGGAATCTATATTTTTTCCTAAAGGGTTTGTACAATTTAGCTGTATGGTTAAGTTTACATAGTAAAAGTAAAACATCTCAAATTTATAGTGTATTTACCTGCTTTGAGTTTTAATGCTACAGCCAGGGCAACAGAATTCAGGAGAGGGAGACCAAAAGCCCCTGAGAAATATACATATTTACGGGGTTTGGCTGAAAGGTAGAGAGAAGCATCAGTCATACAGCTACATACAGCGCTGTGATGAAGTATTTGCCCTGATTCCCTCTATTTTTAACATCCATAACACTTAAATGTGTCTAATAACAAAACAAATGTAGTATAGTACAAAGAGCACTCTACTGTAAGTTCACAACACAGTTTTTAAATGATCTTTTGATTCACTGAAGGAAGGGAAAAAAAAAACTTAAAAATAAAATAAAAAACAAATATTCCCCAACACCCATATCACCTGTCTGACAAAGTAATTCCCCCCCTTTGGCATCGCTGTGGAGAAATGTTGACCCACTCTACTCTACGGGATTGTTTCAACTCAGCCACATTGGGAGGTTTTCAAATATAAACTGCCCATTTAAGGTTCCGCCCCAATGTGTCAATGAGGTTCAAGTCAGTACTGTGACTAGGCCTCTACAAAACCTTAATTTTGTTTTTTCTTTTCAGCCATTCATAGGTGGACTTGCTGTTGAGCTTCAGATCACAGACTGATGATGGACATCCTCCTTCAGTACTTTTTGGCAGACAGCTGAATTCATGCATCCCTCAATTACAGCAAGTCGCCCAGGCTGGGCAGCAGCAAAGCATCCCCACAGCATCACTCTGCCTCCATCATGTCTGACTGTGGCCATGATGTTCTTTGTGTGGAAGCTGTTAGCTTTACTCCAGATGTAGCAGGACCCATGTCTTCCAAATAGCTCCACTTCTGACTCATCAGGCCACAGAACATCCTCCCAAAACTGATGGGGGTAATCGAGGTGCTTTTTGGCGAATGTTAGACAAGCCTCCATGTTCCTCTTATTTAGCTTTGGTTTCTCCTTGCATCTCTCCCATGGACACCATTATCGCCCAGTGTCTTTATAATCATGGAATCAGACATTAACTGATCTGAGAGAGACCCGCAGTTCCTTAGATCTTCATCTCTGGTCTGCTGTAGCTTCCCTGATGAGGTTTCTTTGTTGTCTTGGAGTAATTCTGCTAGGCTGGCCACTCCTGGGCAGATCTACCACAGTTCCAAGTTTTCTCCATTTGCAGATGATGGCTCTCATGGTGATTCATTGCACTCCAAGGGTTTTAGAGAGTGTTTTGTACCCCTTTCCTGACTGATATATTTCAGTGATTTTCTTTCTCAGGTCTTCAGGAAGCTCTTCTGATTGAGGCATGGTCTGCTGCTTCTTGAGACCCTTATCCAGCTCCTCATTGCTGCAATGGTTCTATTTAAGTGATGTGTAGGTTCATCAGGACTGGCAGCAATCAAGCTTGGGTGTGGCTAGTTTAATTTAACCCATTATCATTTAGATTTGGTTTATTAGTTGATTGAGTGACCAATTACTTTGTCACAGCACTATATATACAATAAAACAGCCATTGGGTATAATGTAATGCTCTTTTTACAAAATAAAAAAATAAACCATAATACTTAATTTAAAATATAAAAGAGTATTCAATAAACAAAATATTTAAACAACTTCTCAATAAAAGTGCTGTTTAAAAATAATTTTAATGTAAAACAAATACGTACCAAGGAAACGTTCCCGCTCCCAGAATCGAAACAGCAATGTGACAGTCAGAATGTAGATGAACACAAACTCGCAGATCTTTACAGGTCGTCCTGTGGTCAGAATTAGTTGCAGTTTATTTCAGTTTCTAATACAACAAAAGTTATCAATGAAATAAACAGCTTCCTATTCCTCTAAAATCAGTCAATGCATCTCTGAAGATGCACAGGACAAATAAAATAACAAAACCACTCCATCTCTGGAAGTTTTCATTTTACAGCTAATACAGAATATTTTACTGTCTATTTCTGATTACATCGAAGTATATGCCTTTATTAGTAGGGTGTAATTCAATAATAACTAGAAATGGTTATATTGGATTATTGTTAACAGCAGCCCAACACATATTTCTGGTTTACACCATTTACCAAATGATTGACAGTTAAAACTCTATTACAGTCAAATGGTTTGCTTACAGTTAAAGGTTTTCCTTACCTTTGTCATTTTCTAGAATCACACTTAGAAACAGGAAACTTAATATTAGGTGAAGCATGAAGAAAATCCCTAGAAGGATTTTCTGAGCTAAATCTGAAAAGCAATAAAACACGTAAAACAACAGATTAAATAAACATAACATACAACAAGCCCCATTAAACATTATCCCAATGTTTACTTTTGGCTGTTATCTCTTTGAGGGGTGGGAACTTACAGGGGGGCAAAATAATGGAACCATCAGTATATTAATCTCAAAGATTAATCTCAAAGGAGTTTGGCCCCCTTTAGCTGCAATAATAGGTTCAGATCTTCCTACAGTGTGGTCATGGAATCCTGAGGTGTGCAGTGGGACACTGGACTGATCTTCAGAAAGAAAAGCCTCCATGTCTTTGCAAGACGAATAAGGTGGAAATCGACTTCACACACTGTACTCCAGAACTTCCCATACAGCTTTAGTGCTGTTTAGATCTGGTGGCTGGGAGGCCAAGGAAGGCATCTGACTTCATCCTGGTGCTCATGAAACCTCTCCTGAATCTGTTTAGCAGTGTGTATGGGGGCATTATCATCTTGGGATAAGGGAACATCATGAGGGAACAGTGTCTGAGACACAGGGAGCAGCTGCTCTTGTAAAAAGCCCTCATGTTCCTTGGCTGTTATAGGACCATGCAGAGCATCATCAGACCTAATGACTCCCACAAGATGGCTGCCCACACCAACAGGCACTGTGGGCTGACGGTGTGCTTTGATTTTCTCTAGATGTAACCCCAACCAGAGGCTCTGAAATATCACACTGCTGAGGACCCTCTGCAATACTGACCTGCTGAGCACACACTGCAATACTGCACTCTTGAACACGCTCTGCAATACTGCACTGCTGAACACAGTCTGCAATACTGCACTGCTGAGCACACTCTGCTCTTTAGAAAATAACCTAGATGAGCTTTGCTTACAGTGAGGCACATGCTGGGAGATGAAGGACTGCTGTGTGTTTGTATTCACTGAAACCTGGCTCCATGATAACATCCCTGATGCGACCATCCAGCTAGCAGGGCTGACGTCTTTCAGGGCGACAGAGATGCCGCTAGCTGCAGTAAGACTGATGGTGGGGGAGTGTGTGTTTACATCAATGTCGCCTGCTGTACGAATGTTACTGTAGCTGCTAAACACTGTTCACAGGCAGAATTCCTGATTCTTAAATGTCGGCCATCCTGTAGAGAGAATTTACTGTTGTTTTTGTAACAGCTGTATAAGGATGCACTGTGTGGGCTGTATGACACTATTAGTGGGTTACAGTCCAGGTACCTGGACAGGTTTATATAGTGAGTGACGGGGACTTCAACTTCAGTAATCTGAAAACCATTTTCTCCAAGAACCACCAGTATGTGGATTTTGCCACCAGGGGAAAAAATATTTTGGAGTTGACATACTGTACACAAATATTCCCATGGAGTATAGGGTTACCCCCAGCCCCCACCTAGGCCACTCGGACCATCTGCCTGTTATGTTAACACCAACCTACAGACCACTTCTGAAACAGACCAGGGCAGTGAAATCATACATTAGAGTCTGGCCAGCAGGAGGATTGCTTTCTTTTCACAGAATGGAACATTTTTGTAGCTGCAGCTTCCCATGACATCACATAAACATCCAGGAATATGCTGAGACAGTGACTGGATACGCTGTCAAATGTGCTAATATCAGAAGCAGAGAAGAGGATGTTAGTCTGCACGTCCACTTCAGTGGCCTCTATAATGGAGCATATTCAGCCACCGGCTCATTCCACCTACCATGCTGTGCTAAAAATGCTACTGGGGATTATCGCTGCCCGAAGTCGTCAGACAACTGGTGACCGGCATCACACTTTCTCCAGACGTTACACTCCCCATCCATAGCCATAATACGTCAGGAAGCATCCTCTCTTTTTATAATACAATCCGGTGCCTTGTGTTCTAACTGCACATAATTTATTTGCAGATGATTATTACTGTATTCTCATCCTTAAATATTCACGTTTAGTCTCACATTATGCTCCTCAAGGTTTTACATCCATTTGTGCACTATGTACTTTTTTAATCTGCTGCAGTATGTTTACTTTGCTCGCGCCATATGTACAGTATTTGTACCTTGTCTGTTTGGCATTATCTGCATTTCTTGCATGTTAGGGGCAGCGTGTGGTTCAGTGGGCTAAGCCTGTGTGCCTGAAATCAGGAGGTTGCTGGTTCAAACCCAGCCTCAGCACATCTGAGAGTCCTTGAGCTAGGCCCTAAACCCCCAGCTCAACAATTCTGTTATTATCTGCTATTATCTACAGCCCTGGTGATTATTGCGCATGCGCCATTTAATCACGATGTGACATCATGCAGCCCTAGATTTTTGCCAGGATTCACTCAGGAAGCCCGGTTCAGTGACCCCCGGAAGGTATGATGTGTAATGTTATATGGTTTATCATCCAGAGCTGAACTATCCCACCATTTTATATAGAGTCTGACTGGAATGCTAACAATTAGCAATGAATGCTAACAGTAGGACAGCTTATAGGACAATTATGGGGAGACGAGGCCAGGAGGCCCCAGGATGATGAGGAGAAAGGCTGATGTGAGGCTGTAAGGTGTCACAGACTCGGGAGTTTCTACTGGGGGGCAAGGCATGGTGCAGGCAGAAAAAGGAGTGGGCGATCCACTGGCGGCTCAACAGGAACACAGGGGTTTATTAACAGAATCAGAAAACACTGGAAATACTACAAAACAGACCACGAGGGGTCATAACTAAAAAGGGGTATGAAGTAAACTGACAGAACAAAAGGATCTACGAAGGGGAACTGGATACACCGAGAACAGGCAGGGGATCCAAAGTAGCAAACAGAGAATCAGGGAACCACAGTCAACCAGAACACCATCATCAAAAATACCATTAACAACAAATGACTCCACGCAGAACAGAGCAGTGGCCTGTACTACGAAGGGGGTTTAACCAAATCAGACTTAACCCCGAGGTAATTTGCGAACGCGAGGTTAACAAAATCATGTTGACTCCATCGGGGCTAATCAGTACTACGACGCCAGTTAAGAAGTTGATTTGTTAAATCGGTGTTAACTGCATTGGGGTTTGTGCGCGTTCACATATATGGAGCACGTTCGGCAACGCAAGGCACCGTTTGACTCATAGCGCGATCTCCATATGTTTCATGGAGGAAGACTG